GACAGACAGACAGACAGACACACACACACACACACACACACACACACACACACACACACACACACACACACACACACACACACACACACACACACCACATATATATATATATATATATATATTCTCAAACACACTGTAAACACACACCCATTTAACAAATGATGGCCGGCCATTACCAATGTGCCAAAAAAAAAAAAAATCTAGTAACATAACACAGGCTCAAATATAAGAAATATCAAATTTCACATTTTTAATACTTGATCATGTTTCCCTGTGATCTGAATACTAATTTCAGGTGGTTAGGATTAGAATTAGAAAGTTTATTTTAAAATAAGTTTAGACCATTTTTTTTTTAATCCAGAACTCTTTTTTTCTTTTTTATTCGATGTGATTCAGGTCAAGGATGTTTCCTGACCACTGAAAAACATTGGTATTGTTCTACCGCAACTATTTCTTGACCTGTTTTGACATTTGGCACGGGGCATAGTGTAATGCCATCTTCCTCACGTTCTACGAATGCTCCTTATGCACATCTACTGTGCATATAAAGTCCATATATGATGGTGGATCGCATCCGTCCCGCCATCATTTACGGAATCTGTTGTTATGAGATAAGAGGAAAGGCTTCAAATCTGTTTTAAGGTCAGCGTATTAACAAATCAACATTTCGATGATCATTCACTATAATCAGGATCTGTAAAACATTACATTCACGTACAAAACTAAGAAAAAGTATTTTAAAATTTAAAAACAAATAATGAAATCGGTTAAAATACAAATATTAGAGGTGAATGGTTCAGAGAACCGACATGTTGATAAATTAGACACATGTGCAGCTCTTGGGTATCTTTACTGAGGAAACGTTTCGCCACACAGTGGCTTCATCAGTCCATACAAAGGAGAAACTTGAAGAACAGGAGGAGAATGAGGTAACCAGCGAAGAATTCCCAAGTATTAAGATCCCAATTAGTTGCAGTGTCTGACAGGATTGTATGGACTGATGAAGCCACTGTGTCGAAACGTTTCCTCAATAAAGATACCCAAGAGCTGCACATGTGTCTAATTTATCAACGTGTCGGTTCTCTGAACCATTCAACTACAATCCTGTCAGACACTGCAACTTCTTGGGATCTTAATAATTGGGAATTCTTCGCTTACCTAACCCTTGGGCACGACCTACTTCCACATTAGATAAATGTGACACCACCTACGACTGCTGCACCCCTCCTGCCTACGGTTTATAAGCTACTTCTCTGTATATATGCTGTATTCTATTCAAAATTGATGGACTGACCACATCGATTCAAGGTTGAGGGACTGATTATCTTATTCTCCTCCTGTTCTTCACGATTCTCCTTTGTATGGACTGATGAAGCCACTGTGTGGCGAAACGTTTCCTCAACAAAGATATCCAAGAGTTGTACATGTGTCTAATTTATCATAAATATTAGAGGTTAGTTACTTTATGTAGAGAGAGACATGGACTGAAAATATGCACACTGCACCAAAGAGATCAATTGAATGAAAAAACTACACACGGAAGACAATTACTTTAAGGTAAATAATCCACCTGCTTATACCTAGTAATTAAGTTCAGGCTTGAGATATACTCACAAATTATTAAACCTGATTTATTTTCTGCGTGTTTTCATTTTAGATAATTTATCACATAGTATATGAACTTTTGACTCAGAGTATGTGGAGGTTAGGCAGGAGTGTGCAAGCGGAAGGCTTAGTGGGGGTAGTGAAGAGCGCTACAAGTAAAATCTAATCAAAGCTGGTGCAATAAACTAGTTTCCGTTGAAAGGTCAAAGAGTCTGCGTTGAAGATGGGACTTTCAGCGATGAGGTCAGGTAAAGTACATTAGGACATTGGAGACATCGGAAGCGAATTATGTGTGCCTACTGATAGACAGGACAGTCTATTAAGAGATGGTGAACTGACAACGTAACTTGACAGTCCTCACGGAATAGTACCGCGTTATTTTCCACGTGATACCCGTGAGTCATCAAAGCCTCGTAAGTACTAGTTTAGGAACTCAGTAGAGCCTTGGACTTTACTGAGCTATCCCATCATAGTACCTGGATGGTTGAAGCTTTAATAGCTTACAAAGACACATACACTTTTGTACGCCCTATTTATTATTTGCGGGAAAAATTACATGGTTTGTCAAATTGCCTCGTGTAAAGAATCCACAACTAACCTTTTCTAGTTATTCCAGTATATTTGCAATTAGTTTGTGTAATAGCATTTGTTATAATTATAGTCACTTCATCTGGGGAAAGTGTTTTTAGTTCAATGCCTTTTAAGTTTAATATTTTTCATCTACCCAGAAATGTCTTATTAAAATCATAATTTAACTTAAGATACATGTGTTTTGATGCTCCTTTGACAACTTTATATTTATGATGAAGGTTATAATACCATTTAATGCATTTGTCTAAGTACACATAAAGGCAAGGCAGTGTAAAGAGTGTTATATTTCTTATGTACATTTCGAAAACTTTTGTCTTTACAACTCTTCTTTCTTGAGGATCTTTTTAAATATATATATATTTTTTTTCCGCGTAACACAACCCGTCCTATTAAAAGTGTCACACTTTCTCATAGTCTTTTTAAGCCCATTTATTGGTCGGGCTGGGTTAGAGTAAGTTAGGTTAGGAAAGGATAGGTAGGCTTAAGTTAGGTTAAGTTACAACGGGAAACTATAAAGATAAACCACTGTGCGCGGCTCATATAATTATGTCATATTTCAACTGTTCAATACTCCGTTAACAGTCACCCATTGGATTTTTTTTAATAACAGTGGCATGTTGCCTGTGGATAAGAACACGGTGTTAGTAACAAGCCATGGGCAAAGTTAGGTAGATGTGTAACAGAACAACGAGGTACATTATTATAACTCAACGGAAAACTATAAATATTGTAGAGTGAGAGCTGTTTACCGGATCAAACACACTTACCTATTAGAACCTAAATATTAATCATTCAGAGGAATATAAAGAGAACTTGAAGTATACAAAAATATATGTTAAATAGTGATAAACAAGGTCTCATAAAGTCATTTGTTCAATTGTGCAACCCAGTTGGGTCTTGCGAGCACGATCTTGCGATGCAATAGTTATCTGAGGTTTCCACTGCTAATTCCTTGTTGCTGAATTTATTTGGCAAATTTTTCTTAGGGCATGATATGCAATTAATTTTTTTCTGCTCACGCATATTCCTCATCTCTGAACTCTACAAGAGAACAATCTCGTGTTTAATCTCGTACATATAGTAATGGCTCCATTTGCTTTGTGTATTAATATACATAAGTATGTACAAGTAGGGAAGCAGAAATATGTAGAAAGGTTTCTGATGATCTTATAATAAAATACAATAATGTTCCATGAAGTATTTATAGAAACAAAGGACAATTGCGTTCACATCGAAACGGTTTCTTGATATACTTTTGTTGTCTCCATAAACATAATATGACATAAGATATACATTTGTGTCACTGATCATATTTGTTCACACTTGCGACTAGGAGGGGATTATGCAGACTGAGGAATGTGCGCGAATCCGATTACTTATTTGTAGTTACTGAAACAGAACAATACTAGTGAACTCCAGCTTACATTTTTTCTTATAATAATGTTTGTAGCATCACTGCTAATACGTCAAGCCGTAACGGCTTGATAAAGCTCCTGGAGAGCGAAACGTTGCCACAATAAAATGTCGCATTAGTTGCGCTAGTATCATTTTACCTAACATATATTATTTTAATTAATAGAGCTTGATGCCCTCAGGATCCGACCCACAACAGACAGTTAACATTGCTGGTAACTGTTCACTGTTGGTGGTCAAGGGAAACAGGCTAAAAAATTATTTGCCTGAATGTCGCTATCACTGGGAAATGGACCCGGATATAGGGCGCGCGACGACTGCTCGAACCGATGTGTTCAGATGCTCGAATATCTTCGCGTGCATGCTAGCTTTAACAAGAAATTTATTACAAGATTGTGAAGGCTTGAATTTCAGCACTTGTCCCTGTTGTAACTTCCGATCGACTGCTGTGAATTAGTTGTTATATTTACTTTCGAATTGCCTTGACATATGTGTTTTCACATACGCATGTGCTCATTGATGTGTAATCATGTTTGCTGCGTACACGTGTTTGTGTTCACTTGGTTGTTAAGACGTGATTGTGTAACGTGTATATGTGTATGTGAATATGTGATGGCATACACGTGCCTGTGTACACAATCTTCAGTAGGTACTTGTGCGTGAATATATAAACATGTTAAAGTGTACACGAAATTAATTATGCACGCCAGAATTAGCTCGTGGTGCTGACTGTGGCTTTGCAACATCACAGGATCAAAGGATAGATATAATCTTGCAACCACTGTTTCGCCTCCTTAATTAATGTGCCACCGCCTGTGAGATACACCAAGCTGACGCCAAATGTGATGCAAATTAATGAAGGTAATCTTTTCCTCGATAACTTTACTCGTAAATAACCCAAGACAAAACCTTAATCCGACGTAACAAGAATAATTACGACAATTGCTTTTTTTTAATATTACTGAAAAAAGTAAAACTAATGATGACACTGGCCAACAAAGATTTTTGTTCATGTTCATTTTTGCTCTTCTAGCTATCTGGGTCACTGAGTTTAAATCTAAGCTTAATTTTGGGCCAACACGCACACTTTCTATAAGATAGAATTCTATGGTGATCGATTCCAGAAAGTCATAGCCATCATGGAGAAGAGATATCAGACAAGCCTGACTACCGATCTGATAACCGACTAGTGCTGGACACTGGTGTGGGAGAGCCAAATTGAACTCAAGAAAAAAAAACAACTGTAAAGCTGATGTTAATAAGTTTTATATGACTGTATGGATATTTCTGCTTATTTTTATAAGAGATATTCAACCATAGTTATCTAGTTTATATATTTTTACATTAAACATTACACTTGGAAGACATTTAATGAGTCAGTCAAGTGTTACCGTGAGGAAGGTGTGTATGCACGAAGATTAATTATCGTGACGCGACACTCTTCATGTCTAGCAGGAACTATTGTTTCATCACCACACTAGGAAGGCCACAACAGGAACGGTGTGTGATGATGAAGGTTGAGTGTGTCCCCAGCGCTGCTATGCCACACCGACTGACCACTTGCCACTGTCTCTCCAACCAACATGCACTCGCAACATACCCGTTTTCTGTGATTTCTCAACGTTTTCTTTTATTTTTACGTTTTCTGTAATTACCAACTTTCTCCTGTAGTTCTTCGTCCTACGTGGCTGAGTTCAAAAGGTCACTTCAGCCAGCTATGAAATCTGTGACAACACACACAGGACGTTTTACGAAGTTTTATCGAAAAGCTTCTCCTTCCGTCTCGAAACATAACTACACATCTGGCCGCTTAAGGCGAGACTTCTCGACGCGATGGAGTACATTCGACGTATGACCCACTGAGCGCTGGTTCACCAGATCCGGTATCAATGAAAACAAGAGGCAAATATTTAGGTTAGGAGGGAGGGCGCGCGCGTGAGTAAGGAAGGTGGGGGGCTGGGGAGTACGTTGGGCCTGGGAAGGGAAGGAGGTAATAATGAACCCCAGGTCGATAGTGATGTCCCCTTCCCCTACGCTCGTCCTAATCCCTCCCTATCCATTATCCCTCCCTCCCTCTAATCCCCTTTACTTCAACCTTGCCTTCGATGTGCCAATGAAAATGCACTGAAGCGAGCCTTTGTTGACGTTATAAATTGCTGTTAAAAACACCCTGTAAAAATATAAATGAAGTTAATTTGAGTAGGGTAAATATGGATAAAAAAATATTTTGTAATTTATTTACATGGCATTTCTTTTATTTTACCATCGCATGTCAAAATAATAGGCGTTTTTTTCTTTACCGCGATCTTTTGGGTATACAATTATGTATATATTCTATCTGTTACTCTGTACAACGTTTGCAGTGAAGTTTTAATTTCATTTCCTGAGCAATTTAAATAAAGTTTAAAGAACAGCAGTTGGTTGTCTGTTCCACTCATCTAGATAAATATTTTCCTCCTCCAACACAACTACTGGATCACTATGACATGGCCTTGGATGCACTGGAAGAAAATCAGAATGCAGATGTAATATACACAGACTTTGCAAAAGCATTTGACAAATGCGATCATGGCGTAATAGCCCATAAAATACGTGCTAAAGGAATAACTGGGAAAGTGGGGAGATGGATCTTCAACTTCCTAACAAATCGAACACAAAGAGTAGTGGTCAACAGAGTTAAATCGGAGGCTGCCATAGTGAAGAGCTCTGTTCCACAAGGCACAGTACTCGCCCCCATCTTATTCCTTATCCTCATATCAGACATAAACAGAGATATACACCACAGCACCGTATCATCCTTTGCGGATGATACTAGGATCTGCATGAGGCTGTCATCTGCTGAGGACGCGGTTAACCTCCAAGAAGATATAACAAAGTTTTCCAGTGGGCAACGGTAAACAATATGATGTTCAATGAGGACAAATTCCAACTACTCCGTTATGGAAAACTGGAGGAGATAATAACTAGAACAGAGTATACTACTGACTCCGGCCATACAATAGAGCGGAAAAATAATGTAAGGGACCTGGGAGTAGTAATGTCTGAGGATCTCACTTTCAAGGATCACAACAGTGCCACGATCGCACGTGCAAAGAAAATGATAGGATGGATAATGAGAAATTTCAAAACGAGAGATGCCAAGCCCATGATGATCCTTTTCAAATCACTTGTTCTCTCTAGGCTGGAATACTGCTGTACATTAACATCTCCATTCAAAGCAGGTGAAATCGCAGATCTAGAGAGTGTACAGAGATCCTTTACTGCACGTATAAGTTCTGTCAAGCACCTTAACTACTGGGAACGCTTGGAAGCACTTGACTTGTACTCGTTGGAACGCAGGAGGGAGAGATATATCATAATCTACACTTGGAAAATCTTGGAAGGAATGGTCCCAAATCTGCACACAGAAATCACTCCCTACGAAAGTAAAAGACGGGGCAGGCGATGCAAAATGCCGCCAATAAAAAGTAGGGGCGCCATTGGTACACTAAGAGAAAACACCATAAGTGTCCGGGGCCCAAAACTGTTCAACAGCCTCCCATCAAGCATTAGGGGAATTGCCAATAAACCCCTGGCTGCCTTCAAGAGAGAGCTGGTCAGATACCTAAAGTCAGTGCCGGATCAGCCGGGCTGTGGCTTGTACGTCGGACTGCGTGCGGCCAGCAGTAACAGCCTAGTTGATCAGGCCCTGATCCATCGGGAGGCCTGGTCATGGACCGGGCCGCGGGGGCGTTGATCCCCGGAATAACCTCCAGGTAACCTCCAGGTAACTATAAACTAACGTTAAAAATATTCGACTAAGATGAATTTTAGTGGAAAAAATATGTTCAACAATAAATTTCAATCTCATTTTTTTTTTCAAAGGACACGGAGGGTCTGGCAGTAGAAACCTTTGATGACATTCATATTGATCTTTCTGGGAAGGACTCAGGGAGATACTGGAAGGACGAATCACCGGTGATTACGGAACAAAAGTTCAAGTCTATCACGCATTAACACGATAATACAATCGCAAGGATTTCCTTTTTTTTCCTGGCAACACGCTGTCCTGGGGTAAGGAGAGTGAATTTTGAACGTGGTATTATATCGTCGCAATAGGCGTGAAAACTTTTGCTCAATAAACATGAACGCTTCACCGTTCATTTTGCTTTCTCTTTCTTGACACCTTATCTTTTTCCAAGAAATATATCGTCCTTACCTTCCCCTCTCCATCACGTCCACCCACTCTCCCTCCGTCTGTCTCTCCCTTCGTTACTTCCATTCTTTCTTCTACCTTTGTTCCTTTCTTTTCACATTTTCTTCTCTCCCGTAATCCCTCTCTTCCATATTGCATTCACAATCCCTCATGACGACCTCTTCCATTCCCAATGTCCGACTTCAAAGCAGTGAAAGTAGTCGCCTCTGGGCGATTTTTTCTATCCCAATCTTCCATGCCAATACATTCATACAATTAACAAATTAGCCTTACAATCTCCTCCAAACTTATCACCAGACACCAAATGAAGTCCCTCTCTGGTCTTAACTAAGCTAGGTTAATGATACGAGTATCCCCCTTCAAAACACTTAATCACAAGTGACGTTGGCTGACGGATTAATTATAAAGATGTAACAACATCTCTCTCAAGCCCCAGCCGCATTAATTCCCTGATTCACGGTTTTTAAAACATGTCTGACTGTGATAAGTTGACCAGGATGGCCTCGTCATGAGATAGATAATAATTCCTCTTTGGTTTACTACTCTCTCTCGTTCTCTGTTCTAAGCACTAACGCACACCCATCTTTCAAATATTTTTTATCACTCACCTTTGTCTTTCCTGAGTTCTCATTCACACACCCGTTACTGTTTTAATCTCTTCCTGTCTCTCTACAAAGCTCTTACACCCCTTCATCTCTCTCCTCAGCTTTTTAACTCATTGTTCTCTCTCTCTCTCTCTCTCTCTCTCTCTCTCTCTCTCTCTCTCTTTTTTTTTTTTTTTTTTTTTTTTTTTTTTTTTTTTACACAGGGTTTGACAAGGTTAAGGATCCCTAGCTTTATTGACAGCTATTTACAGGTTAAGGATTCCTAACTTTATTGGCAAGCTAAGAGCTGTTACCTACATCAGCTCATTTGAAAGCATTTTTGTTATGAGACATACAAGTAGGGAACAGGATGAAGTTGGAGCCATCTGTGGGCCAGCATTTTCATTTGATCAACTGACGTTATCTCGTTGACATCATTATGCTGTACGAATGTGTTCCATACTCGAGTCATCCTGGGTATGTATGATCTCAGATGGAGTGATGTTCTGGAGAAGGGTACAGCCAGAGTGAAGTTGCTGCTTTCTGCCGTCTTGTGGCATAAAAGCTTGTTTCACGCTGTCCTCGAAGTGGATCCAAGTGTGGTATTTTGACAATATTGGCCTTGTACATAACAGTAAGGCCACCCACATCCCTCCTATGTTGAAGGCTCTGCTGAAATGACAGATCTATCCAGGATGGGTCCAGGCGAGAGATGAGACGTCTTGCTCTGTTCTCTACTCTGTCAAGCAGTCGCAGATGAGAGGGGGGGCAGGCAAACCAAGAAAGTGGAGCATACTCAAGGTGTGGAGCTACTTGTGCCTCGTACAGGATCTTGCAACCCCTACTGTCAAGCAGATGCGAGATACGGCGAAGTGCTGTAAGCTTCCTGGCTGCCTTGTTTGCAAGATTTACAACATGGTTCTTCTGGTTAGTTTGGAGTCAAATTTCACCCCAAGGATATCAACTTCTTCTCCAGGTGCCAACATCGTCCCATTCATCCTTACTACTGCGCCAGCATTACCATCATGGTGCCTAGAGACGAACATCATTTGCGTTTTTTCAGGTGCAAATGTTACTTGCCATCTATTTCCCCAAGCTGATATAGCTCTCAGCTGGTGATTGATGTAGCTTAGAGCAGCTGGCATTTCTTCTCTTGGATAAGTGAATGTCAGTGTACAGTCGTCTGCATATGCATGTGATTCTGGGATGAGATGAAGAAGGTCGTTGAAGTAGACATTCCATAACAGTGGACCCAGCACACTTCCTTGTGGAACGCTTGCTCTCTCTCTCTCTCTCTCTCTCTCTCTCTCTCTTTCTCTCAGTACATCTACATGTGAATCTTTCTTTACCTGTTTATGTAAAATAGTCACGACTTCAGTCAAGAGCAGAGGCTAAAGTGCAAATTGTTGTTTGTTACTAAGTTTATTTAGGTACAGGTACATATTAGTAGTTACACATTTAGGTGACTACAATTATCGTATATGGCATCATATGTGTAAATTTCCTAGGATAACCAAAAAATAATCAGACGAGGTTATTTATTTCCTTAAGTGTCTGGCTGGACGTAGCCTGAGAGCTTGCCTGTGGTCGTCATCTGACAGTTTGATAGTGGGAGGATGAAGAGACTATTGGTGGTAGGCTGAGAGTTACGTAGTAATAGGCTGATCTTTCACTAGTCGCATTTTTTCAGGATAGGTTTGTGAGGGTAGGCTGGTAGCTCGCTTGTATTCGGAGGGTAACATAACATAAGATAAGATTTTGCTAGGATTTTTAATCCCGGAGGGTTAGTCACCCAGGATAACCCAAGAGAGGCAGTGTGTTATCGAGGAAATGTCTCTCTTATTTTCATTGGGGTCCTCAGTATTGTCCCCCAGGATGCAACCCACACCAGTCGACTAATACTCAGGTATCTATTTTCTTGCTAAGTGAACGGGACAGTAGGGTGTAAGGAAACGCGCCCAATGTTTCTACCCTTGCCGTGGTCGAACCACTGACACTATGCGTGGAGCGAGAGTGGTGCCTACCATGCCACAGGTCAAGCTAGAAGT